AGTTAGATGACATCTTGGGGTGAGAATGGGCTCAACAATTGTGTACAAGCATAGCATCAAAAATCAATTTGCCGTTTTATTCAGTTTTACCATGCAGCACTGACCGTATCTGAGCGAGGTTTAGACAAAGTGTGGGAATAATGTGAAACACGGCAGTATGGTTTGGCTTGTTCCCAATGTTTCCTTGTGTTCTCTGTCTGCAGGTGGCTCAATAAGCGAGGAGAAGGAAATGAGCCAGGAGCTGTTAAAGATGGCCTAAAAGACGAGAAACACACACACACACACACACACACACACACACACACACACACACACACACACACACACACACACACACACACACACACACACACACACACACACACACACACACACACACACATATATATCCAGTCATTTATTATTGATAGATGCAACATGTGACTGACAATGTCTATTTCAGATGTTTGTTTGGCAGAACTATCAACTCTGAATATGATTTATTCAGCATTGCAGCTGTTAATCTCGTAACATTGCTTCCTCTTGAGCGCTCTTTGCACCTCAATGCAAGGATTGCTTCTTCCTTTTTGATAGGGCTTGTTTACGTACAGGACTTCAGCCAGCAATCCAGCCTTTTCTGCTCTCCTTGAATGACTGTTTCTGCAATTCTGGGGTGGAGGGGGAAACTCCACTCTCTGAACCTCTTCCCACAGATGTCTGACCTTTGGGTTGAAAATGGAGATTGTGAGTGGACAGAAAGCCTTATGCAAACATCTGGACAAATGATTTCACCTAAGCATACTGACTCTCACCACAATGACCCAACATGTCTTCAATGAGATGGCTGATGGACCGGGAAAACGTGCAGATACAGCCTGTCTAACGCTGAGACAGTGACATTAATGACCGATTTTTTACTGGGAATGGGTTTTATTTTCATGCTTTAAAAACAGCATCTTGGAGTTTGTGCCCTTATTTGGGGTGAAAAAAGGCAGTTTTAATGGCTGTGTTGGTTAACTCTGTCCTGGTACATACTTCAGACACACTTTAGACATCATATAGAACCCTTTTTTTCCCCCAGTGTGGTAATGGAAACCCTAAACAAAAGACCATTCCTTGATGAAAGATATAGACAAAGATGTTTTGTTTCTGCCCTGTTTTTGCCTTCCGACTGTTTTTCTACAAGGTTTTACAGTTTTTGAGTCATATATTACCTGACATTGTCTCTACACGTCTCCTATGTTTACTGGGTGTCAGCTTTCAGATCGTACAAAATGTCCCCTCTAGGCTCCATGTCTCTCCAGAGTTGTAATTTTGGTTTAAGGATAATCATAGAGTATTCTTCAAGTTGCGTAAAGCTTTCATGAAAATGTTTCCATCCAGTTCAGTTGCTCAAAACCTTAAAAGCAGAATTGTGTGCTTCAAGAAATTTAGCTGCGGTATTAAAGTTTGAGTCTTCAGAGATTTATTGGAAGATAAAATCTGAATATTCAGATGGGTGGCATTTATAAACGTTTCAGTTGTACTTGTGTTGTAAGTGAACAAAATTATAAACCAGAGCTGCTACCACATCTGAGATGAATCCTAGAGCAAAATGTTTAACTGTGTGGACTCAATTTAGATTTCACAGATACTGTTTGATGCAGTATTCCCATTTTCTTATGCTAGAAGGGAAAATCCAACAGGAAGGGACTGCGGCTGGGATGGTAGCTTCTCCTCTATGGAACAGCAGCACTGTGGTTTGAGGCCTTTCTCTCTGTACACCCGTTTTCAGACTGCTGTTTTTTCTTTTCTCTGAAGGGTTCCGGTCTATGGTCTCTGGCAGACAGACACTGGTAATTACTTCCATCTTCCACCCCAGAGGCAATGTCCAGTGCAGAGCAAATATCCTATACATCCACCCACTCAAACTTAACTTTTCTGTCTCTATACGGAGAATTTGTTCTTCAATCAAATCTCTCATCTAATCTTCTTGTCTTTTTTTTATCTGTCCAGTCTCTCTGATGGCTTCTTACAGACAGAGAGACCCTTTTCATTCCTTATTGTCCAATTCCCAAAGCATTATGTATGTGTTATTTTAGCCTTACAGCATGAGAAATACAAATCAAAGTCTACAATTAAATTAATCTTGACCAACCTACCTGCAGTATGACATCACTGATAAGCTCTTTTGACAGGCTCATTATTACATAATGTCAAGGGGTTGACAGTGAGAATGGCCTATTCTGAAGCACAGCAATGAACAAAAAGACTTCTGGGTACAAAAATGGAGATCCATCGCCCCCTCCTGGAAGGGTTCAGCAGGAACCAGAATATGATCGAGGGGATTTGGCACAGACAGGATATTAACTACTTCATCTTCCAAGCAGGTATTTGTAATTTTTTTTGGATGTAACATGAAGCAAGCAACTTTATGTAGCTATACAGCACATTTCCAACAACAGCTCACCTCAACAGGAACCGTTTGATTCCCATTGAACTTCAATCAAAAAAAATCCATTATATGGAGAAAAATCCTGGAACATTTTCATCAAAAACCTTAATTTCTTTTCAACTGAAGAAAGAATGACATGGATATCTTGGATGACATGGGGGTGAGTAAATTATCAGGAAAAGTTTTTTTTAAACGTGAACTACTCCTTTAACACACCAGAGACATTCTCAACAGAGCTACGAATCTACACCTGACTGAATGCAAATCAACTATGTGTGAATAGTGAGAGATATACAGTATATATATATATTACCTTGTTTTTAATAACACTATATATATCGATATAACATACAATATTGTGTGCAATCTGCCAACTGGAGCCTCAATGAGCTGAACATCACTGAAGTAAACCTAAACCTGGAACAGATGCTTCTCCAGGGCAGGTTATGGTCAGAAACTTTGGTAACAGAAGAGTAGGTGGATGCAATGGCTTCTTACCCTGAAAGTTACCTCCATTATTGGAACCGAAAGTTGAGGTTCCCTGCTTACGCACGGTACCCTTAAACATACCCATGAAAATACCCAACAATTGATGACAATGTCAAGATTTATCAGGCTCAAATTGTGAACGAATGGTTAGGAGGTACGGATCATGAAGAATTATTTTCACTCAAGGATCCAGACCTTAAATTAATTGAAAGAATTAATTGAATCGACTTTGGGATGTGCTGGAGTATAGACTGCTTAACTCCTGCGTTGTAAATACAAGATCTGGACCAAAAATGTATGCACTTGATGAAAATCACAACATATTTCCTTTAAGAGGTGCATCATTTTTGGTTAAGATCTTGTATTGACAATGTTCTAGAAATGAAAAGCTACACACTCAATGAATTAGGGTTAGAAGAACTGTTGCCACACATAATGCATGAAACAAGCAATGATCCGGTCATAGACTAAGCATTTGCCCATGTCCAAACACACTTTTTTGGCCAAGCAGTGCATTAAGCACTGTATGAATGAATCCCTGAACTGTAGGAAGTACCTCCGAACAGTTGAGAGCCTGTATACGTGCAGGATATGCCAAAAGAAGAATTTAAGGCCGATTCCAACACATTTTCCAAGAAGGGTTTATTTTTATTAAAAACACTTAAAATTGACAAGACAAAAACTTAAATCTGTTAAATTTAGACCGTTTAAACGGGTCTTGAACGGTCCTTGGGCTGAATTAGAGGTTTGTATCTTCTTACTGGATGAGCTTTAAAATTTGAACTCTGGAAAATAAGTCAAAAATATTGATTAACACAAATTAGATAGGATAGTTATAGTGTCTTCAGAATAACAGGTTTTACAGAGGACAACACTCACCCACTGCTGTTCTTGCATCTGGCGCATCTCTCGCAATCTCCGCTCACGTTCGACTCTCCGTGCAGAATCACGCTCATCAAAAGAGAAAGGCCAAAAACAAGTCAAGCTCCTGCGTCTTGCACGCCTGCAGATCAGGTAAAAAAAAAAAAGAAAAGATTTTTATTTTTATATTTATATATATATATCCGAAACATTGTTGAAAGTGAATTTTACCTTTGTAGGCCTACCTTGGGATTTCAATGGTGATTTCTTCTAATGTGTTGTTTGAATGAGCAGGTGAAGATGTTCCAGAAGAGCCATCTGCAAAGGTCAAGTCACTAGTGAATCATTTGCTGCTGCCCATTTTGGAAATGTAGGATGCACCTTTCCCACAGTACGCATACTACACTGCAGAAATATGCAAGTATACAATTCTGATCCAAAGAGAGCACACTTTAAGAACTTCAACGTGTTCAAAGTCTCTACACTCATCTTTATTTTATACAGTATGGAAAGAGTCCTTATTCCTTACCAGTTTCATGGCTGTCATGTCTTTGCAGAGGGGAGATAATGGCCAAACCGTACTGGCGCTTAGGTGAGAAAGTTAATGGCTTTCTACGTTTAAATACATTCATGCGCCTCTTATCCGATGGCGTATCTGCAATAAATAAAGAAACCGTCAAAAACGTTTACCAAGGAGGAGAAACCATTTTAAAGCCAATCAGTAAAATTATCTTATGCATGTGCGATGCGCCAGAACCATACTCTCTATATGGCACTGTTATGCGCTATATGGCACCACTGATCTATACAATGACATATTTAAGGCAAGTCATTCTATGGACCATTTTGTAAGATGTAAACACTGGTCCAGAAGCACTTCCTGTTTCAGCTTTAGCACTACATAAACGTTGGGATAAAATACAACCAGCAAAACATAATACAACTGAACCAAAAAGTTAAACAAACATTTGAAATAAAGAAACCATTTGCAAACTGACACAGGAAGCGTTTCTGGATATATAGACCATTTTGCAAGATGTAAACACTGGTCCAGAAGCACTTCCTGTTTCAGTTTTTTAACACTACATAATACAATGTTGTACACAAATACAACAAACAGAACATATAAAACTGAATCAAAAAGTTAAACAAACATCTTTAAGATGTTTCGTTACATGTGAAATAAAGAAAACAGTTACAAACTGAAACAGGAAGTGTTTCTGGACCATTGTTTACATTTTCCATTGCAAATGGTGGCACCCTATTTCTTTACATTCTATGGTGAAACCGCACGGGCGCGCGCAGGCTGCAGCAGTTGCTAATAGAAACCGTGTCACGCGCACCGAAACAGTGACTGACTGAAACTGCAGAGATTTAAACACTCCACGGCAAATGAACATTGAGGGAAGATAACTTAAATATCGTCGCAAGAAATAACATGAATGACTCCGACAACATGGTGAGGTTTGAATCAAAATAAACGAGTCTTAATTAAACAAGTTTGTAATTTAACATTAAAAACCTTTTAGTTGTATTAAGAGGTTTAGGAATAAACGGTCAGAGAGTTTGAAAACAAACACACAGCAATGGTGTAACTTAACGTTAACCGCTTAATATGGCTAAAATACTAATAAATGTATGAATAACTTAACGGTAAAGTTACCTGAATGACTTTGTGTGACGGTCTCCGGTTCTGCGTTATCATGTTGACCCATCGTAACTGTCGTCTATTAATTATTGTAACATACATCAATTAAAAAAAATTTCCCCCTTGATAATGCATGACTTGAATTAGAGGAGAGGTTAGTTTTATAGGCCTAAGTTAATTGTCTACACCTGTTCTGTGAACCCTGCCACAAACGTGCTCCAAATCACGCAGAGGCATAGTTTAAGATTTAAGAGATAAACTTAATCGTTTGTAAAACAGTGAGAAATAATTCATGAATTGTTTTAGCTGATTAAAATATACTTTTAAAAGTAAATGCGTAACGTTATGTGTGTGTGTTTAGCTCATGAGTCATACAGAGGGGAGGAGCTCTACTCCACCAGAGGAGGAGGACGAAGAGGATGAAGGCTTCTCTCCCATTTCTGCAATAGCTCCAGAGGCTGATTCAAATCATGAACAACCTGCTGTCTTATCATCAAATCCAGCCCTGCAGTGCCTGGAAGAGGTAAAAGCTCTTTTTTCATTTGTTAGTTCCAGAATCAATTACAGAACTTTTCTCATTTATCATCAGTCATTTACATTGCAATAATTCACTCAATCTTTTTAGCTTGAGTTCTCAAACTTTTATACAAAGTACCCCCATTTGTTTACAAATTGAACCAATTCAACCCTCTACAATCTTCTATATATATTTATATATAAATATAAATAAATTTTTCGGTAACACTTTACAATAAGGTTCAATTTACTCAACATTAGTTAATGTATTAACTAACATGAACTAACCATGAGCAATATATTTTGTTACTGTTTTTGTTCATCTTTGTTAACGTTAGTTAATACAAATCCAGCTGTTCATTGTTTGTTCATGTTAGTTCACAGTGCATTAACTAATGTTAACAAGATTTTAATAAAGTATTAGTAAATGTTGAAATTAACATTAACAATGATTAACAAATGTTGAAGAAGTATTGTTCATTCTTAGTTAATGTTAATGTATTTAACTAATGAACCGTATTGTAAAGTGTTACCCATTTTTCTCTATAAATTCTGCATTTGGCTATTTCCAGCTTTGACAATCACGCATCTTACAACCATCCCCAGTCTCCCACTATAGGAAAATAAGGGACACCCAAAATATTTGTACTGTATCACACACCGTGTTTGTCATTTCAGTGTCTGCAGTATGTGTAAAGGTTTCTCAGACATAGATGTACAATTTAATTCTAAAACAAATTTTAATGTGATATAACAAATTTACCATTGTTAAAAAATAATAGCATTTATCTGAAATACATTAGACACTTTTTGGGGTCAGTAAGAACCTATATTTATTCAGCAAAATGTAAATTAATCAAAAGTGACAGTAAAGATGTTACAAAAGCTTTCTATTTCAGATAAATCTTTGACATTTCTACTCATCAAAGAATCCTAACATGTATTTTTTTAAACATTAATAATAATCAGAAAAGTTTCTTGAGTAACAACAAATCACATCAACATATTATTCCTTTAGGTAGATTTCATGTTGTCTTGCATGGCTGAATGTTGGACTCATGAACAATAATCCCGTTGTTTGAATTCGCCAAAACTGATTTGCCGAAATCAAAACCTGGACAGGTAAAAGGATTTCGGCTCGAACCGGGAGCGACCAGGCAGCAGAGGATTCTGTTCACAAATCAATTCTCAATTTAGTTTGTTATTCATATGGTCTGATGCGCACAATGGTGGGCTGTGATTGGATAATGACTGGGGTCATGACATTATATATTTTTGAAACCTAGTTAATCTATACAGTAAACTCTTTGAAACTTTATTACCGGTACATATATTTCACTGCTCTTACCTGCAATAATGTTTGCAAACAATTTCTAGGCTAGCATTGATGATAATGATGGTTTACTGTGTAAGAATTAAAGCTTTGAATCAATCAGTATTCAACTCACAATGTTGTTGATTATAGTTTTATTTGTATCATAAAAAATATGAATGTACCTTTTAAAAGCACAATTTGAGATGTTTGATATAAAGTTTCAGAAAAAAATAGGCTAATAAGTTAATTCTCTTAAGAAAACTCAACAAAAAAACATTCATAAAGGCCTGCCTAGTCACACAGTAATACTTAAAATATTTTTTAAAAGAAATGATCCGATGCTTTGAAAATAAATACTGTACATTTCCTCCTTCAATGTCACAGTTTCTTTTTAACAACCCTATGAGCCTTTAATCCATGTCTGTTTGCTATTAGGCCATCTATATTATTTTTTTTTTCAGTAAATATATGCATTTAATTTAAAGTCGCACAGGAAAATGGATTAATGCATTACTTATTTTGGATTAAAGGACATAATTGCTCTACCTCTCCCTAATACCACCAGCAAACCAGGATGGCTGTAAAATAAATGCTCTATAATTCCCATGACTCCCACCAAAAGAAAAAAATAAGCTTATCATGAGTCTAAGAGTCTACATAGACAGACATATACAGTATATGTCTATGATGAGTCTATAGGCTTTGGTGCAGTAAACTAATTAAACACAAGATGGCAGTAGCACACTCACACACACAAACACAATTGTGAAACCATAATTCAAAGTCCTGGTATTTAGAATAGCTGGATTGTATTCCTATGTGCCTATATTTGAAATACAGAGCTTTATAAAACATTTTTTTAATGCAGTTCTTTTTAATATCTGAGGACTTTTGATGTATCAGTTTATGTAACAGTTATTCTTGAGGAACAGTACCCCCAAAATAATTATTTAATTATACACAATTTGGCTTAGGGTGCATAATTTTTTGGCCTTATCATCATTTTGACATTTTTAAAAGTTTGTCTGTAGTTTGTTGGATAGTATTCAGAAGTCAGGTTGTGCCACGAGCCCCAGAAGATCCCATCCCTCTTCCCTTTGTACTTTGCTTTGTAGTATTTGCCATTGAGGTTTGCTGACATGCAGGCATCAAACCACCAGCCTGATCCGTAGTAAGCCCCACAGTTCCCTGAGGGGTACATGTCGTTGTCTCTGTCCGGCGTAGTGAAGAACTTCTGATCATGGTTGAAGTGTTTGCTAAATTGCAGAGCGTTTCCAGCAGTCCCCGAGTACCCACTTACAGACAACCGATAATTGAGGAACTCATTCGACACATAGAACTGTTCGTACTTGGCATACCCACGTGTGCCCTCAAAGTCCTCAAGCTCAATACGGAGGATCATGTCCTTGGTTTTGGTGAGCAAGTGGATTTTATCATTTCCAAGCCAGAACTCGCCATTAGGGTTACCAAAGCCATTCTTGTATTCAGCCCAGGTGCGGTTGAAACTCACGCTGCCATTGATTCGACGCTGCAAGACAGTCCACCCACTACCGAATGACTCCATCTCACAATACACTGCAAAGCTGTCGTGTCTGGGGTCAGGAGTCACCTGGTACACTCCGTTTTTCCTCTGCCCCGGCATGCTGATGTCAGAGCAGTCTCTCGGAGTGAGTTTTGAGAGTGCTGTGTAGAGAGAGACTTTTAAGCATGCTTTATAATTTTACATGCATCAGATACTTAAGATTATTTATTTTAAAATAGGGGTATCCATATCTGCTCCTTGAGGGTACTGTCCTGCAGATTTTAGCTACAACTTGCCTCAACACACCTGCCTGGAAGCTTCTAGTACTGTATGTCTAAGACCTTGATTAGCTGGTTCAGGTGCTTTTAATTGGGGTTGAAGCTAAACTTTCCAAGACAGTGGCCCTCCAGGAGCAGGACTGGACACCCCTGTTTAAAATATAAAACTTCATAAAATATATATTTAATAAAATGTATGTTTCCCTTGTGATGCTTGACCCAAGACTCTATAATTTGGTTCAGTGGGGTTTATTAGATTTATTTCATCATCATGTGATATTGTGGCAAGGCTTGATTTCTGCAGCAAGTTTTCATTTTTTAAATTAGTAAAATCAGAGACAGAAGATTTCATTGATGATTTGCAAAGCTGTTCCTGCAGAAGCCTCTCTCCTGGCAGGCAACTTGCTTAATATTAAACAGAAGAATCTTCAATGCGATAGCCTCTGTTTGCGGTGGCAGCTTGAAAGCGTTCCTTTGAGGTACTTCTTTGTAAATGGTCTAAATGATTCTCTAGTTTACCTCACTTCTGCATGTACTAAAAAAGCTATTAAGCAGCACAGCTGTTTTCAACAATTTTTTGAGCAACAACCCAGCATATTAGAAGGATTAAGACTGGAGTAATAATGAATGATAGTAGGTATATTTTTAAAAAGATATAATAAAAAATAAATATGAAATAATATAAATATATTAGTGGTCAAATCGCTTAATTTGTTAGATACAATAAATCTTGATGAATCTAATTAACAGCAACAAAAAATATGTAAAATAATACATAGTATTATAATATATATGACTTCAAAAATGATCTTTTTGTTGTCTTATTTAACTTACGTTGAGGTTGTTGTTGTTGACCTGTACAATTTGAGGTGCAGGTGCTGCCAATTTTGTTGACCATCCTGGTGATGTTCTCAACTTTTCTTTCCACTATATCCTCCACATTTTGCAGATTGAGGAGGTTAAGTTCCTCCAGACGTCCCTGAAGGGAGTTAATCTGGACACGTGCGTTCTTCAGGCTGTTAGACATGCGGTTCATCTTTACCTGCATTTGTTGTACATTAATGCTATTATCGCTGTCGTTCCCGTTCTGGTAGAATCTCTTGATGGTCTCCCCTCGACTCTCTTCTGCGCTGTTTGTTGGAGGGTCTCCACTGTCCTTTTGCAAGTTGAGGTCCACTTGCTGCGAGCCGCACTCCAGACAGGAGCTCTTCAACCTGTTTACTGTCTCCTTCAAGCTTTGCAGCTCCTTCATGGTCTTCTCCAGTAGTCGGAATTGCTTGGGAAGCTGTATGGTCAGCGGTGGTATTTGAATCTGGTATGGGCACTCCTCCTCGTCTTCACACTGCCCAGCTGGTTTCAGTCTCAACTGGGAGCAGCTGGAACTTCCAGACACCCTGTCTAGAACCCCAGAAGGGCCACTACCAGAAGCCTCTACCTTCTGCCAGACCATTATCAGCAGAGAACAGCACACGTACACCAGTTTCATGGTCCCAGAAACGGTGATCCAAAAAGAGAGAGAGGATAGAAGAGAACTGCGTCAAAGTGCAACCGTTTTGCCATTAATATCAGAGAGAGAGAGAGAGAGAGAGTGGGTGGGGCAGCAGTGCATTGCATAATTGCACAGCCGACATCAACGCAGAAAGAATTTGGTAAATAAAGGATCTCGCACCCTTTCTCTTAAAACAGCATTATGACTCATGATATTTTTCTTTAATTTAACCTTGAGTTAAATGAAAGATTCTGTGAGTCAGATAAACCAGATGAGCAGTTTAGTGGTGTGAAGGCAATTGATGATGTTTTTCATTAAGTCAGAATCAGATTTCACTCAAAAATGAACATTCTGTCATTATTTACTCACCCTCATGTCGTTCCTTACCTGACTTTCTTTCTTCTGTGGAAAAGAAAACAAGAATATTTCAACTGTTTTTTCACTTATTCTTCAGACTTTTGAAGAATGTTTTAACTAACAGAAAAAAGAAAGCCAAAGAGGTTTGAAACAACATGAGGGTGAATAAATAATGACAGAATGTTAACTTTTGAGTGAACTATTATATTATTTCCATATTTCTTTCCATTTATTCCTGTAAATGCTGTGGTGTTCTGCAAAACATTGTCTGTCATTCATTTATTGCTGTCATGTGTTTACATTACGTATTGCTAATGTGTTTGTATTGGCACAAGATAATGTGTTGTCACAAAGCTATATTTTACTGTAGTATTGGCTGTAATACAAACAAGATTTGTTTGGGACTTTGTTGTAATAAAGAAACTGTATTTATTTAATGGTGTACAGATGTGATCAGTCGTCTGCCAGAAATAGCTTCACAGTTTTTTCTTTTCTTTATTTCTGCATTGAATTGGTGCTGCAATTTTCTGCAGAAACTAGTGTCTTTTCTTTTGTTTTTTTCACTAGTTCAGCACAGAGAAATGTTATTCAAACTGCCTGTTGTTAAATGTGCTCCAGTGTCTTACTTCAAAGCTGGTCATCCACATGTGTTCCTCATGATTTCCCATAAATTTACCAACAGTAACCAACTTTAGATTCCTGCCTTGGCTTGGAGCAGGAAGTTTCAGAATAGAAGTGCTACAATAAAGGAACCGATAAGGCACAAGCTGCTTTTTAAGATAAATGGCCAGTAAAACTTTAGAGAATTACATTTTTGAGACATTATGACAAAAGTCTTTGTGAAAATTAGCGATGACCATGAAGGTGAATGAATAGACCATGAATATCTGGAAGATATTTTCTGCATATTGAATAAGTTTAGTTTGTTTGTCTCCACAATAAAGGAGAAAAACACACTTTCAGACTTTCTTTTGATAATCATAGATCCTTATATTGAAAGCTTCAACTTCAGTGGTCAGATAAACAGCACTCAAAGCTTAGATCCTAGCTTTCCATGCTGGAGTTTAAATGTAGTTAATGTGTGGGACACATATGGATCCACTCTAAAACCTGAACCTACACACCTGAAATGAGTCCCAGCAAATCCCCATGAACCTGTTTAGCTTTTAAATGCATTTAGGCTAATGTTTATTCGGCTGTTGGATCACTGATAGGTCTCTTTCATCTTTGTCTTCAGCTGTTCTCCACGGGAAAGATCAGTGGGGAGAAAATGGCTCGTCTTTGGGCCAGTTTCAACCTCTTGAATGAAACTTTGAGAAAATCGCAGGAATCAGAAATGCATCTGCAGTTGGAGGAGAAGGCCTTACGCACCAAGCTGGAAAAGCAGAGGCAAGAGTTGAAGAAGGCCGAGCTGTTTCCTGAAGGACCGGACACAGAGGCCAGCAGACTGAAACAGACACTTCTGCAGTACAACAACCAGCTGAAAGAGTCCAAAGAAAGAAATGATCAGATGCATTTCCAGTTGGAATGGTAAGATGCTCTGCAGGACCACATCATGTTGTGTGTAAAACATGTAAAACATGCAGAAAGAAGAAATGCATATGTATTAGGAGTGGAACACTGAAGTCACACGCTGAAGTCACTTATCACAGACTAGTGCTATCTGTGCAAGTTTCGCTTTTGCAGTGTTATGCTGGTGATTTTACCTTACCTAGGCTATCTGCAATTCTTTTGATGTAGCTGGTGATTTTTACCGGACTTGGGACGTGTTTCTGCTGTATTTTATAATGTACAGTACTGCTTTTTTGGTCATATGCTCACCCAGGCTGCATTTATTTGATCAAAAATACATTAAATACCGTATAACATTATTTTAAAAAGTAATTTATTCCTGTGATGGCAAAGCCGAATATTTAACAGACATTAATCGAGAATAAAGTGATTCTCAAATGATTCAGATTTTCTTTTGATGAATAGAAAGTTTAAAAAACAACAGCATTTATTTCAGAACTATTGTACTAGAGATATATTTTATGTATACTGTATCATTTGGTTAGTTAAGTATTTATACAGCAGGCATATTACAGCCAGATGTAGTTTCTGCACATGTGGCTATGTCCTGAGCAGATCCTTCATCCTTAGCCAAACTGACATGGATTCACCTTGCACAGCATACTTTTGCTCACTGTAATCTCTTTTTTTTGATGGGACAGTCCAACTCACACTAATGCTCAGCTAGAATGTTTGTTCATGTGGCTTCAAGCTTTAGCAAACCTAATTTAAAATGTTTAATAACCCTAGCCACAAATGTATAATTGTGAAATATTCTTTGTGCTTACCGTGTAAATCTCTCGTATTTGTGTTCCTTTTTGCATTAATTGCTTCACATCCTGATTTCTATAAAATGCATAAAGTTTGTTTCACAGAATTGTATTTCTCCTTTTTTAGTCTCGAAGAGGAAAAGCTCTGTCTTGAGAAAGAATACCAAGAACAACCTACACAGACTGTAAGTATCGTTGGGCCATGATCCTTCTGGATTTATACATCATTGGGTTTTCCAGACAATTCATGCTGGTTCACTAGGGAGACCAAATCCTTAAAAAACATAAAACAAATGATTAGTAAAATCCATCTACTTCATCTAAAATTCAACATCCTCTTTATATTTTATATTATATCTTTTTGTACTTATTAATTAATTTCAATATCTATATATCAGTCATATAATCATTGTCATCATAATAATCCTAATCAAAGTTGTAATAAAAAATAATATTGTAAAATATAAGGAGCAGCTGTATCAGCTTCTTTATTGTCTTTCATTTGTTTAAAAATCATATGTGACTGTGTATGTCCTCATTTAGGAGCTAGAAAATAGGTACATGGACCTGAAGAACAGTTGTGATGAGGTAAGGGATGAGGTGGTTCATCTTAAACAGGAAGTGTGTACTTTAACTACGAGCTTGGAGACTAAACAGAAACATATAAAGATGGAACAAAATGAGCTGAAGGATTTAAAAGATCGTGTTGAGAGCAATGAGGTAAGCAAGACCTCTTAATGACTACTATGGGTTGGAGTATTTAGGATGGGGATTTCAAATGTTAAAAATATCTTTTACCAGGCTGAGCTGGCTCAGTTGCTTCTCATACCTGTTCAGCTGGGAAAGGAGATCGACCAGGTCACCCACAAGAAATCGTATGTGGCTTGTCAAAGTCAAGTTACGCAAAGCACTGGCTCTATTTGACTGACTAATCTGCATTTTATCTATTTGTGTGTCATAGGGAATTGGAGAAGCAGGTAACAATAATTGAGCAACATCGTATGGAGCATATAGAGCATGAGCAGAAGATAAAGGCAAAGTGTGAGAACCTGAAGGAGGACCAAAGGGAGGTGGTACAAGAACTGGTAGGCCTTAAGGCTCAACTGGTGGCTGCAGAGAACAGACAAGATAGACTTCTCAATGAACTGCAGATAACCAAGGGAAAAGAGGCCATCTTCATGGATCGAAGGTCATAATCTCACACCGTTTCTCACACTTTAAAGTCAAATGGATTCAAATTCAAATCAGAAGACAGTTTTTTTTTTTTTTAGATAAAGACAATTCAGAAGTACCCATTTTAAAATATAGGGTCTTTCGCACTGGAGGAACCTACGGTAGAACTATTGGTGGAAGTACCTGGATTTGGAATGATCTTAATTCTAGGAACTCCCTTTGGAGGAAGTAATTTAGTTCCTCCTACTACAGAATAGGGTCTAACCCAACACTATAGAAACTACTAGGACATTAGTGTACGCTGATTGGCTGAAGGCACATGAAACACCAGCACCCACCTGTGTCTAAACACACAGATTATAGCCTATGTACCTCAGAAACACAATCTACGAACATGGAAAACAGTGATAGATGGGCCTCTTAACCATTACTCTGAGGAGAAAATCCAACGCGACTTTGAGGGTGCCTTTTCAAATACTGTTTACTTTGTATGAATAAGAGTTCTATCTAATAACGTATTAGACAGGACTGTTAGACCGATCGTAAACTATTAAACACAGAGAATCCGAGCACCGTGAGTTCACCATCAAAATAAAGTTCCACCCCATCATCTAAATAAAAGTCACAACAAGCACGGCTTACGTCAATTCAGAGTTCCTGCTGGCGGTGCGAATGCAGCCAGCAAAACGTTTGCAAAACGTCAGCAAAACAATTCAGAGTTTGTTTTTTACGTAAAGCCCCTTATGTAATTAATGGACCCTTTTAACATTACAAGCTGAATTTTATCATAGTTGGTTAAACGCCTGTAGCCAAAATAATCCTTTTTGTATTGTTAAATCTACTGTATTAATTGTTTTGGACTACAGGGCTCTGCTGAAGATAGAGATGGAACAGATTGTTGCTAAGTGCCTGTCTCTCCGTGATAAACTGTCCCGAGATACACAGCTGAAAGACAAACTTATGCAAGTCCTGAAGAGGAATGAACTGCAGCTGAAACAGGCCAGAGACTCTCTCGCTGATACTCAACAGAAACATGAGAATACCAAGGCTCAGGTGAACCCAAACAAAATCTAGTTTCTTATACGTATACATCTAGATGCCCACATCTAGATGCAGTATTGTCACCCACACTCAATCCTAATAAAAATAAATACACAACATCAATAATCAAACATCACACTGTAAGAGGATTTTCCAAGGTTTACAGATCTTGCAACATTTACAAAAATTGCTGCAGATGCAAATATTTTGTGATGTCCTGCATTTCAGAACTGCCATGGAATCATTTCGTTCTCACGTTATGTGCGGAAAGACTGGTGAATCATGGTCATTTTATAATAACAGGAACTATCAGTTCCTTTGGATTTTAAAGATTTTCATTGTCTCATAGACGTGGCCTGGTGTTTATTGCAGCACTTGTTAATTCTTTTCAAATATACTGTATTTATCACCCAGTTTAAATGTAGTGAAGTTACAAAGTTGATGCCTATATCTATGGACATATCAATTGATTATTTCATATATGTTATTTTTTTGTGCAGAGAGACACAGTCCCAGAAGGTGACAGCTTGTTGCAGAAAAGAAAAGATCTGGAAAAGGAAGTGGAAAACCTAAAACGCAGCTTGATTAGCAAGGTTCCATGTACAATATGACAAGTGGCTTGAAGTTTACTTTATCTATGAAGTTTTTCAGTATCACATTTGTGTGTGTGTGTGTGTGTGTGTGTGTGTGTGTGTGTGTGTGTGTGTGTGTGTGTAGCAATCTATGGCAGGTCTCAAGGTCCAGCTGGTTCAAGAGTATGTGGAGAAGGAACAGACTTTGATTAAAGAGTGCTATAAGCGTAGAGATGAGCTTCAACACCTTTATCATCTCATACCTATCAAAAGAGATGAAAAGGAGCAGAAGAGACATGAGCTGCACAAAGCACAGGTTACTCCCTTTATTTACAACTCAATCCAAAACAGTTACATCAGCATTACTGAATTTTTTTTCTGAGCTCAAAAATAAATAAATATGATAGCAACCAACTTTTTAACTATAAATTACATCCTGTATCATTTACTCACCCTCATGTCATTCCAAACCTGTATGATTTACTTACAAAATTAAAGGTACAATATGTAAGAATTTTGTGATAAAATATCCAAAATCACTTCCTGCACTTTTATTTCCTGCAGTTGTGTCCTTAGAATATCCCAAAAGATTTTTAATTTCAGAAAAAATCTAATTTCAAACAATCAGCCGTCATGGAATCCCTGTCTTTACTCGTCACCTGTCACTGTAATATTCGTGTTTTCCCTGGTTTCCTCGTACTGCCATAGTAACCCTGGCAACTACGTCTAGTTGCATGCTGTTGTTGTTTCGTTCAAACATTATGGACCATGGCAAGCACACTTTGGGAAAAAAGGGAGAAATTAACTTCCTTTTTGAGATGCTTAGAGATCCATGTCCATGACAAACTTCGACTTGACAGAGCTCATACATGTACTTTTTAGATGGGTGTGCAAATGTACATAAAATTAATCAATGTTATATAGGTAAACATGATGAAATGTTAAAATATAATCTGAATGTTATTCTAATGTTGATGTAGCTTACTGCTAGTCTCATATAGCCAAAAACTAACACATAGAATAACATTATAACTTTCAACACACTCAAATGCAGTGTAGTGTTGAACGTTAGACCAAGTGAAACAACGCTGCGTCACAACAAGCTTCATCCATCTAATAAACTGACACGTGTGACTATTAATTCAGCATTTGCGGTTAGTTTGATAGAATGAAACGTCCATTCCTTCATATCTGCGAGGCTCGCAGGACTCAAGGGATATCTGTCTCTTTTTGAGATGAGTTTTGCGTCATCAACCTACGCCTTTGTTATTGCAAGAGGTTAGCGCCCCCTAGTGGCAAAAAAAAATCTTTAAGTATACAATGACAAAGGCCAAAAAGGACAAAAACACGATAAAATTGCAATAAAATGGCAATATCTTTTTCTCATGCTGGTTTGGAACAACATGAGGTTGAGTAAACTATGTCTTAATGCTTGGTGATTGATATGAATATCATTGCAGCTAAAATATATGCATTCTAAAGAAGATCTGCAAATGAAAGGAATGGTTATTCAAGAACACTTGAAACAGACTCAAGAGACCCAGTCAAGGTACTTACTGGTGATTGGCAAGAACTGTTTATATGGGATGAAATTGAACTAAAATACAAGCAAAATATGTAATTATTTCTTTTTATTATGCCAATTTTTCCTATTATTCAAACAGAAAATCACTGGCTCTTTTACCTGATTTAGAATGAATCTACTTTGTTTGCCTATAGTCTGCTCAGTAAATGCATTCTTAAATCCAATCTTACCCTCACCAGGCTTGGTGTGTTTGCTAAGCTGTATGAAGTCACCAAGGCTGAGCGGAAAAAATACCAAAGTCTGATCCACATCTCAACACAGAACCTGGCAGAGGTGGCAGAGAAGCTGGCTATCCTGGAAGAAAATCATAAGACTCTGCAATTGACTGCTATCAACACAGACAAGTACCGTTGCTATCACGTTACATGCCCAGTATCCCCCCCAAAAAATACATTCTGACAACACCACACATCATAAGATATTGGGTAACGCTTTACAATTTTAATTTGTTAACATTAATTAACTATATTAGTTAACCTAAACTAACAAAGTACTTCTGCATCATTACATCATGCTTTTCTCAGAATTTACTAATATTTTTTGTAAATCAAAAGTTTGATCTGTTAACATTAGTTAATGCACTGTGAACTAATATGAACATGCATTTTTATTAGCTTACATAACAAACAGTGTTGGGGGTAGCGTTATGTTTAGCAAAGTTATGTAATCTGACTATTTTCAAGTAACGATTTTCAAGTAACGAGTAAAGTGACAAATTACTTTCCATAAAATGTAACTAAGTAATGAGTAACGCAATATTGTAACTCATTACTTTAAAAATATTTTTTTCAGCATTGATACATGTTAGTTAATTCATAAATTAACAATGGTGACAAATTAAATCTTGTTGTAAAGGGATACCAGATAAGGTTTCTATAACAGCGACATACCACGAGAACAGATTAAGGTGTGTGACATCGAAATATTTCCCAACGCAGATTTTGCAATGGTTAAAGTTGGTCATGCCACGCGATTCTCCGCATTGATCATCATACATTGCTATACTATTGACAATAGACAATGGACCTTTCTCCAAAATTTCACTAATATAGTGCATCTTTAGAAATCTTGTATTGCTTGGTTTCACTCCAGGAAGCTGCAAAAGTCCAATCTATGGCACTCTCAAAACTCAAGACGCAGAGACCAAATGAAACGTGAAATCAAACAGGAGGAAAATGTTCTGAAGGAAATTCACCAGAAACGAGAGGAGCTGAAATTGAAAATCAGCAAGCTCACATACACAATCGACATGCTGGAGCAAAACCAGTTGGGTATTTGCAAGAGCTATGATGCCGCCAACCAAGAACGCAAAAAGCGGTGAGAGAGAGTTTAGGGAAGTTCACAGATCTGTCAGGTGAATTCTTAGAATTTGGACTTGCATGTGCACCATAACTTTGTATGTTGTTTGTTTCTGTTGCCAGGTGTGTGCAGCTTACAGAAAGAGAGAAGGAATTGTGTGTTTTCAATGAGAGACTAAATGAGCTGGTTAAAAGGATTGAAGAAAGCAACCTAAAGATACAGAACAAGAATGATGAAATTAGCCAACTGAAAATTGAACAGAAAGAGCAAGAAAGACAGACCAACCTGCTGAAGAAACAGTTGTCAATCAAACAGACCCTGGAGGAAGAGAGCATCTTATTACAGATACAGGTACCTGCAACCCAGATCTGAAATCACTGTGCAGCCTCTATCTAAAATATACAGTATATATATATATATATAAATATTAATGTTAAAATATGACAGGCTTCTCAGAGGGTCTGCCAACTTTTGCATGAGATTGGGGAGAAGAAGCCAAAGAGATGTTGTTATAGATACATAATCTCAAAAGAAGGTCCAACAATATAAACATTGAGTAAACGAACACACTATAATGCAGTAGAATTAATGTAAGTAAAGGTTGTATTGTATATATTATTCCAAAAATGTATTGCCCTCTATGGTGCCAATGGTACCCACAGATGTGTTCTTTTTACCATTTATAGTTCCCTTTAAAAGAGATAAAAGTGAAATAAACCGTCCTGGAGATTTATAATAACCTTCTGTGTTTAATCTAGAGTCTCTTCATATCAACATCTACTACATTAGAGGAGACCAAATGAACACTTAAATATTAGATCATGTCACTAGCTTTTGATACTGCTATAGGGCTGTAAAGTCAAGGATAAAAATGTCTTATACCCCAGCCAATGCCAACTAGTTTACAATTCCAAACTGTGGTTCAAGTGCAATATTTCTCATTACATTTACATTTATACATTTACATATCCAACACATTATGGTTACAATGGAAATGTCAACTACCATTCAATTGTTTAGGGTCATTAAGAATTTTTTAAAAGAAATGATTACATTTATTTAGAAAGGATAATTAAATTGATCAGAAGGTGTCAGTAAAGACATATAATCCGCAACTGATTTCAACTGCAATAATAAGAAGAAATTTGAGCACCAAATCAGTATGGATCACACAACCATGTAACTGTTTTTCCCATATTTTTTATCAAATAAACACAGTCTCGAGCTTTAACAAAAGCCTTACTGATCCCAAACCTTTGAATGGTGATTTAATGGAATTTGCAGAAAATTTGACAACAAAAAAAAAAAACTGTTGGAGTAGCTGTTCAACATATCAAAATGGGAAGAAATGTAGGTAAAACTATTTTACTGCTTAGGCACAGACATGTGATGACCTTTCAATTCTTACTGGGTATCACAAAATGTCCTGTACTTGAATAAGTCTCTGAACAAGCAACAAGTCTTCCTACCCTTCATGGAATGCCAGGGAATCCGCCAAGCAGAAACAAAGGATTAAGACTCCTGCATTTTTTTTTTTTTTTTTGCAGAGAACTAAATTATGACCTTTAACTCCAGCCCTCGGCCTGTCATGGCAATGTGTCTCATGTTGGTGTGCTGGCTTGTGTTGCACTTCCTGGCTGTAGTCTCACATAGCAATAATATCATATATTTCCCCCAGATCAAGTCCACAAAGACATCAAGCTTGATGTTTCAGCTTTTCTGACACATGCCATGGCCTGAGAGACAATAAAAGCTTATGTCCTAACCAGAGGTTCTAGCCAGTGGGCATTTTTAGATTTTGATGTAGTGATGTACTGTATAAGCAAATGATTTAAGACATCAGTTAACAATCATTGATCCAATAACATCGGCTTTGTTATGTTTGTGAAAACATTTCAAACCATCAAATGAGTACAACAAAAAAATGTTGGCACCAGATGATTCTTCTGCTGTAACATAGCCCGGAAGCTCCACAGTATAGTCTGTTGTGACTGAAGAGCAAAATTATACATACACATACAACATCAAACCAGCTAAATGACTCAAAACACACACAAATAAACAGATAAGTTTACTCTCTAGGGTGGCCACACCTACAGAGGATCTTTATTATCAGTAAATAAGAATACATCCGGTTTCTTCATGCAGCCTGTATATCTGTGTAATGAGAGCATTTTTCATTTTCATTGTTTTTCTATGCCATAGCTGTCTGAGACGAGAGACAGACTGACTAGTCTAGAAGGTGTGGACTATTACAGTACAAGAAAACTTAGTAGAGAAGATGCATCTCCTGAGGAGCTCATCAAGAAGATTGAACAGGTATAGATAACAGATTTGCCATCTACACAAAGGGAAATATTTGGGTTTAATTTTTTATTTGTAACACCTTGTTACTTACGATATTCCATTATTTAATAATTATATAAATATTATTTTCAATAATTATTTATATTTTAGACCTAGTTTGAGTTGTATATATTAATATATTCTCTTTACATATTTTCTTGTATAACATGAGACGATGTTGACTTAATTTTAATTTAGTTGGAAAGAAATTCTCAATGTAATCTAATCTAAAAATTCTCAGATCGAGAATGTAAATGATTCAATTTAAGTATCTTCAATAAAATGACTACACAGATGGGTTTATATGGTTTGAAAAATATGCACTCTTGGTAGGTAAAAATTTTGCTCACTCGTGTGTCTTTGTGTGTTTAGCTTGAGGTGCAACTGGTAGATAAAGAGGCTCAACTCTTGGAAATGGAGCTTGTGTATGAGCAGGTTACGCACCTTTCTCAGCGCATCCAAATCAAAGCTGAGAACGGTAAAGAAGACACGCTGCATCTGGCTAAGAAAGTAAGATCACACATTTACTCTTAACACACAGCTCAGCAACATGGTTGGTTTAGAGTCTGAGTCTTGGTTTAGTTTACAGTCCTAGTCTAGTTTTGCTTCAGGCCCCAGAATTCACATTGGACATCAAGTGGTGACCAACAAGAAGAGGAAAAATACCTGATGCCTTAACACCGTGCAGACTTAATTATCTCCAAAATTCTCATTATCTCCACATTTATGAACCATAGCAAGCTCTCTTGCTCTTTAACCAATCCTTCAGCTTAACTAAACGTCAAACTCATGTACTGTGTTACTGTAAATACAGAAGGTCATGTAGCCAGTAGTTGTATCAAACTCATTTACAGTGTGTTGGTGTTTTAGGTGAATGAGCTTCAGGCTCAAATCAGAAAGCGCACTCATAAAATGATGGCAGTTGTAGCGGAGCTGTCCATGCGACAGGCGGAGTGTATAACCCTACAGCAGCAGCTGAAAGAAAATGAACTACAGCTGGACTTGTGTCAGAGGCGTGTGGAGCAGGGCCTGCCCCCCTCAGATGACATAGAGAAGGAGTGGTTGCGTTACCTTCGAGATCAGCAAAGACGCCAGGCAGACGAAGAGAAAAAAGCCAGGGTAAGACTCCGAATGCCATCAAAGAGACATAAAACTAATTAAACACACACTACAGGCACAAATGACTCAAATCTTACAGTAAGCGTTTTCATGAGATATGAACTTCTCGGTCACAATTGGTTTATGTACTGTAAATTCATCCTACCATTATAAGGTCAATGTGCTGGATCAGGTCTGTGCTAAAGCACTGATGTCTCTCAGTTTCTGTTAAACCTTCAAATGATAGTTGAATCGTACTTTAATTGAAATATATAGGTAAATATTTCAACCACAGGGCTAACATCACGTCCGTATGATACGAATGTGTTTCTATGTTTATGTTAGATGGCTGAAGAAGACGAATGGAACCAGCTTCCAAATGGTGTTTACACCACAGCTGAGATTCGACCCAATGCTTACATCCCAACTGATGATCCGTTGCCAGTGCCCAAACACTATGGAGCGCTGGCCCCGTTTAAACCCTCCGAACCTGGTGCCAACATTCGTCATATCCGCAAACCAAAATCCAAACCTATTGAGATATAGCGTGAGTCTCACCTGCAAATTGATGATGCTTACTGTATAAATGTCATTTAATGTCCAGATGTGCTTCCATTTCTGAAGAATCTTGTCCATTTCCTCAGAACTAGTGATGTTAACAGTTGTTTGGCATATGGGTCTAATTTCTAAGCTTAGAAGCCAATGCAATGAAGCTTCTGGTGAAGGCATGTTGGCAATTCTGAGAGATTCTTTAGAGATCTGCCAGAGGTGATGGGTGAGTGAGCAGTTAGATATGATGATATGTCCTCTGGAGCCACGCACAGCTGAATTATGCTGGGAAATTTATAACACGGAACCAAATGGGACATTTAGTGGAATTGTTTAAGTGGTTTAAAGATTCTTATTCGTCCAAAAAAATCAACTATTTTTGTTGATCACTGTGCATCCTACAGTGTGTATTTATAAATATTTATACACACATACGCACAGGCCCCATTTCAAAATAGGAATATGGACTATTTCAATGTAAAATAAAAATATGAATATCATAAATAATAAAAAAAATTCCCTATAAGCCAGCTTAAAAAAATCAGAATGTTGGAAATAAACATTTTCCAGCATTTAGTAGTTGCATTTGTAATAGTGTACTCTATTTGGAGGAAAGAAAATGCTCATCTTTAGCCAAATCAAGATGGTTTATACATAGTATATTAACAACCCCTGATCTAGACACAGTAGCTTAATAATCAACTTCATTAATAGTGTGGTTTTCATACACTTTATGTACTTTATAAAAAAAGTAACCAATAACCATCTAAAAACAGCTACAAAGTAAATACCATGCCTTAGAGGCTCAACAGCATGATTGCAAACATACAGGCAGCAATCTAAAATAAGCTTTCAGGAAATTACTATCTACAAGAAGAATCTTATTTTGCAAAATGAACAGTCCAACGAATATATGATTTTTTTATTTCTTATTTGTGAAATATTTACAGATGAACCCACTCGACTCCATACAACATCTGGAAAGAAATCCCTTTATGTGTCTTTTCTTGGTCCTCTTCCATTGTGTGTGTAGAAAAGTGCATAACATTCCCCTTACGTATTGTCAGTACGTGTCCACATGG